AAAATAATATATGATGGTAGAGGGAGTATTAAGTGGCTATGAATTTATAACAATAAGATGTGGTATGATTATCAATTGAGATCAATTGACATAGTAGTTAACAATTATAGGTCACCGTTCTTCAGCAACGAGCAAAATCCTTACCACATAGTTAGATAAAAAAAGGTCCCAAAATGACAAATGAGAAAACTAAAGGCCTGATTTATGTACAAAACAATAAACGAAAAACAAATATGATAAACAGCAACCAACGACAATCACTGAATTACTGCCAGGAGTCGGTTTCACAAAAAAACTTACGACTATAGATTGATCGTAAGTCATGAACAATTCAGTATACTTATGAGTTTTTTTTTGGTGAAACCGACTCCAGGCTCCTTACTTGGGATAGGCACATACAGAATGTGGCGAGGTTAACCTTAGAATAGAAAGTGGAAACTGGGAATGTGTCAAAGTGACAACAACCCGACCAAAGAGCAGAAAATAGCCCTTGTCTTAACATGTTTGCTTGTGCCAAACCCTCCGCTAAACAGGTGACAGTGGTGTAACAGTACAACACAAGAACAAACTATACAAATCAGTTAAAAAGGGTTTAACTCTTTAGATTAAAAAATTAGATATCAAAACAAATGAAAAACTATATCGTATAAAAGATGGTTAAAAAGCAGTGTAATAAAATAAACTACTCGAAAAAAGGTTTAAGGTTGAAGGCCGTACTTTGACCTATAAATGTTAACTTTTCATACATTGTGACTTGTATGGAGAGCTGTCTCATTGGCACTCATACCACGTCTTCTTATTTATATTAATCTTATATTCAAATACAACCCTTAAAAACCGTAAGACTTTATGACTTATTGTATGGAATATGTATAACTTTATTATTATTACTGGTTGTTCCTATGTTACACATACATGTTATATTGAATACATGGTGAGGTAGCATTGATTATAATTAGAAAATGTGATGCACAATGCACCAAAGCATACGGAAAAAAAAGTTCTTTTGAAAAAATTCATGTTATTCAAAAAGAGATTTTAAATGGTAAAATAAACAGAATGTCACATCTTCTCTTTGACGTTTATAATTAGTCGCTCGCTTTAGCTTAAAGCTTTAATTATATAAGTTTCATATGCAATGCAAAAAGCATCCAAAACATAAATTCAGTCATGTCCCCATACGAAATTTTACATAACGTGTATATAGTTAACGGCGTTTTTCTCACAATGACGTTCTACCTCCATTAAACCGAATAATCTGTCTCTTCGTGTTTATTTTTGACATTTCATATTACCTATTTATCATTTGGATTTTTAATTTTTTTTTAATTGTAACACGGAAGGGTGAAATATGGACACTGGAGACAGAAAAATTCGGTCTATACCTCCATAAGCCTTGAAATGTCATGGCGGGTCACACATGTTCAGACTGGTTTTTCTTTGCATGTATACATGATTATTGTTTTTTGTTGTTGTCTAGAATAATGTCTTATATTGTAATATGCTCTTTGTGAGCCCATTTGATGGAAAATAAAACATCTTCCTGTACTTTTTCAATGGTATTTGTTTAACATAATTAAATTACACATCTTCGCATTAAAGGCTACAACACTATATAAAATGTCATTGGGTTCCAATAAACTTAAAGAAAATTCTACCGATGTACTTTTCCATATGGTTTTATGCAGAGACATTAACGGAAATTTATGGTAGTTTCATTATTGAAATTAAGACGACAAAATCATTAGAATAATACAAATTATTATAATGATACCAACAAAAACAGAGGATTCTCAATTGGTCATGACAGAGACATATAATACATATTGTATTATATGTCTCTGGTCATGATTTTCGTTGGAGTTACATCAGAAAATCCCTTTTCAATCAATCAATCAATCATTCAATGACTGCTCTATCATAATTTCACCCTATCCACATTGTAGTTATTACATGAATATTGTCGATGTTTAAATCATTTGTTTTGTTTATAGGACCTTCTTAATTCCAACTTTGTTCTCAGGAAGTAATTTTACACCAAGGTGTGTGTAGGGGAGTAGCATTCGAATACATATCCATCTTAGTTAAATTCTTGTCCGAAGTCAGGAGCCTTTACTTTTGTTCTGTGCGCAATAAATTGATAAAGTTTTCCCTGTTTGTCATTCGGGTCTATTCGGTATGGTTTTAACTTATTTTTGAAGGCTGTATAATGATGGAAAATTGTATGCTGGAAAATGAAAGTAAAATAAAGTAAACATAGATAAATAAACGAATAAATAAAAAAAAAGAATTATAATGTATTGCTAAAGTTTTGAAACAAAATAAGTGACATATGATTAAGTAATCAATTGAAATAGTTACGTCTTTTTGGTAATAATATAGTTAATCTCATTTCTAGAGATCTTTTGATCATAGCTATTAATGTGACGTCGAGAAATAAATTAAATAAACTGACACCTTTTAAAAGAATAAGAATAAATGTAATTTGCCGTAGGAAAATAATCCTAAAGTGTTTCTATTGTCCACTAAAATAATCCTGTAAATTAATTAAAGAGATTTTGATAATCCATTAATTGCTTTTACATAACTAAATAAAATATATGTCAATACATAATTAAATAAAATATATGTCAATCATATAAATCTTTTACATAAAAAAGAAGAATTGACCAATAAAAAGTAACTTTAGAAAATTCAAAATTGACGCTGAAATTTTATTGGTGAATAAAATAGTTCCAATCAGCACGTGATGCTGGGTTTAAAACGGGAAGACCGCAAACTCCCAACATCAGATATCACACTTCAATTTAGATTGCTGTTTGGAAATAAATCATAAAAACATCATTGTATTTTATTCACCAGGTATGTAAATTGTTTAAGTTTAAAATATTTTCAATTGACTTTTTTAAGGTAAGAATTTATTTTCTGATTTAATAATTTAAGTTTGACACTTAAAACTTAACTTAAATTTATAATAGAGATTTTCATTAATATAAATAAGTTAAAATACAGTTTTCTATTCAAATAAATTGATCACATACCACATTTCAAATTAGATTGCTGTTTGGGATAAATCATAAAAACATCATTGTATTTTATTCACCAGCGTCAGGCCTCGAAAGAACAAGTGTCCGTGATGATCTGGTAACCGATGAGAATACTGGCCGGGCTAGTTTTCTCATCAATTAAGATATAGAACAATGCAACAAGAACTGAAATCATAGTTCGTTTTTAAACGAGAAATGCACAGAACTGAAATACAGAAATTTAGTTGAAATGTCGTTTAATCGTTATCGTTTTTGTTTTTCATTTTTTTGTCAAGAAATCATTTACGAAAAATCAAACACTTTTATTTTTCGCTTTTGTTAATTAGAAATGAAACATAAAAAAAAACGAAAACACTTTCGTTTTTCTATTTTCAGTGTTTTCGTTTTTTTATTTTCGTTTTTGGAATTTAAAACAGAAAATGAAAACACTGAAAACACTTTCGTTTAACGTTTTTTTTTTATATCTCTAATCGAAAAACGAATGGATGCAAATATACACGGACCTAGAATGATCAGCAATAAAAGATCGACAAAAAAAGAGATTTTAGTCAAGAATTATATTCTCAAATAATCAACACTTCAAGCCGTGCTGGTGACCCGTAGCAACTGTTGTTAATTTCTATGTCATTTTGGTCTCTTGTGGAGAGTTGTCTCATTGGCAATCATACCACATCTTCTTATTTTTATATTTAATTTTGATACGTGGCCAATGTTGAAATTGAACATAGATCCAGGTGACACAAACTCTTTCGAGCCTTACCTTTTTTAAAGTGTAACAAAGAATTATTGTGGTTCAGAGACATGTTTGCAGAAATGGCAGTTGACTTGAACTGAGGAATGCCCAAATCTTGATTATATATAAATATAATGTTATGTATTGACTTCCAATGGAGTTCACATATTTTACTTTTTATCCCTAGCTTTCTTAAACTCAAAAACAAGGTTCCAATCAATTCTAACCGCTAAGTAAGTTGATAAAGGACCTGCTGATTATCTTTAGGTTATAACACTAAAAATACTGCGCAGATCTAACTATCTCTCCGTTTTTAGTTTCTAAGCAACAAAAGTTCCTACTTATACCTGGTTAACTTTATAAATCCAAATAAATGGCCAAATGATATTGTTTATTCAGTTTATATATATTTGTTAGGAAGAATGTTAATATCCCTTTGGTCATATATATATATATAGCTCCTTAAATATTTAAGTATTTATCCATCCTGTGCTATCAATTTGTTTGGGTTTGAGACTTTCTGGTGATAGTAAACACAGAAAAGTGGCTTCTTAAGGATGTACTTAGGTGATCTAAGGTAAAATTAAATAAATCAAGAATTCCAAATTGATACTTAAAGCTGGAAGAGTATTAGTTAAGGATCAAAGTAAGCTAAAAATATTGATAGGTCATGGAGCTCCTTTTTGAGATATTTGATTTATAAAATATGGCGGTAAAAGGCTGACTCGGACTTTTACCTTATATTTGCATTGGTATTATTTTGGTCTCAAATCAAAAGAAAAAAAATCAAGAATCTGCTTAAATTTTGTCAAATTACCATTTATGAGCTATTAAGTCTTATGTTAAAAGATAAATAGGTGTTATGGGGCAAATTATTTTACCTTGTATCGTATGGAAAAACACTGAGGAGTCCGAACATTTGAAACTTATTCCAAAACCTCACCTAAGTACATCCTTAAGTATAAACTGTTATTGTCGTTTTTTTTTATCGAACAAACAAATTAAGTATTCAATCTGTCACGTCCAGGAGGACACGATTGATAGGTACCTTATAATTGATTAAAATTGACATACTTTAGTGACCACAATTGACATACTTTAGTGACCACAATTAACATACTTTAGTGACCGCAATTCACATACTTTAGTGACCACAATTGACATACTTTAGTGACCACAATTGACATACTTTAGTGACCACAATTAACTTTTTCAGATAAAGAAAATGGCATGTGAAGCAGTCAATGGTCAGTTTAAAGACTTGGCCAAAGTTTATGAAAAAGATGTGACAGAAAGTATAAAGAAATACCAAGTACTGAAAGATGTAGATTTGTTTGTCCTAGACAATTCAATAAGAGAGAGCACAGTTGGTCAGCTTAGAGGTCACACCATTGAAAACAAGTGGAAAGTTTATGACGAAGTTAAAAAATGTGGATTTAAGCATACAATAGTTGCCTCATTCAACCACAGTACTCGTGTAGATGATGTCTTTATCAAACAGCTCATTGACAAGGGAGAGGATCGTGCAGGCCTTTGGGCTTTCTCAGAAATAACCGAAGGTCAGTTGTATATAAAGTCATTGTCCTGAATCTGTATACAATGCTTAGCAACCACCAAGCAATTAACCTGTAATAAAAGAAACAGATACCAACTTTAAAAACCATAAGTCGATGAAGAAAATAACACGGACAGCGAGATCATGCTCACAAATATTTATTACCAAGAAAACTAAAGATTGAGCAACGAACACCCCACGAAATACGAAATGAACTCAGATACTACAGAAAGATCAGCAGCTTGTTCTATACTAGTAAACCCCAATCTACTCTTTTTTTTGTAAACATTTTTTTAAATAGTTCTTAACCAGGTTCGACGGAGTAAGCATGTTCTGTTATTACCGGGTTACTTGAGATCCGGTCTAAATAGTCATACGCTTCACGTCATTACCGGGTCACATGAGACCCGGTCTAAATAGTCATACGCTTCACGTCACAATGCGGTAAATCTGTTAAGGGATTCTCATTGGTAAATATAATAGCTTATTCCGTACGAAGTAAAGGCTTTCTTAACGTCCGATTGAGTAATATTGGGGTGCATTAGATACATGTATGTGTGAGCTTATCCGTAAGTGATTCAGGAAAGAAATCCAATCGTTACTTCTCGGCCATTCTCGCTACGCCTACAATAACTTTTTAAATTAGTGTAGGCGTAGCGAGAATGGCCGAGTAGTTACGATTGATGATAGTGGCTGTGTTTGGATAGAACATCAAACCAAAGGTACCTATGGATAACCATAGGCCACTTCTGGCGTATATCCAAACACAGCCTAAAGGTCATGAAAATGGCTGTGTTTGGATATACGCTAGAGGTGGCCTATGGTTATCCAGAAATTAAATTCACTCAAATAATTGGTTTTCCTCAATTTTTTTCGTCATGGTTGAAGATATTGATTTGATAATTGGTATATAGTTTTATCATGACAAGTTACAGATCAAGTTCGAATTTTGATCCGGTCTGATGATTTTGTGCAGAGTTATGGTCCTTGGACTTAGAAAATTCACACAGATAATCTGTTTTCCTCACTTTTTTTCGTCATGCTTGAAGATATTGATTTGATAATTGGTATATAGTTTTATCATGACAAGTTACAGATTATTTTCGAATTTTGTTCCGGTCTGATGATTTTGTGCAGAGTTATAGTGTTTGGACTAAGAAAACTCTCTCAAATAATCAGTTTTCCTCACTTTTTTCGTCACTTAAAGATAAGGATTTGATAATTGGTATATAGTTTTATCATGACAAGTTACAGATCAAGTTTGAATTCCCGTTCTGATGATTTTGTGCAGAGCTATGGTCCTTGGACTTAGACAATTCATAGATATAATCAGTTTTCCACACTTTTTTTCTTTATGCGTGAAGATATTGACTTGATATTTGTTATATAGTTTACACCATGACAAGTTATAGATTAAGTTAGCATATTGTTCCAGTACAATGAACTTTTAACCGGTAGGGGACTATGTATTGCCATGCAATACTCTCAGAATGCGAGATGCTTGTTTATTCGTTAATTTGCAGATCGAATTGGGTTATTACTAACAATGTTACACGTTGCTTGTTATGTCATGTATGCACTATTGTCATTACCAAAGAGAAAACATACGAAGCAACAGCTCAAATTGTAGGGGAATATATAGCAAGATCAGGGCGATTTCAAGAACTAGCAAGCCCTGAATCCCGTTTCTGCGCCTAAAAAAATATTCCAAAGTACCGCGAGTAATTACCATGTGCAACGGTGTACCATAAGAGGAAGAAAAAAAACAGTACAGAGAGACAAGTTGTGTCAACTTTGATCTTAGGATCAGGATCAGGATGTATATACATGTTATCGTACCTTAGGATAAAAAGCAAAATGTAATTGTTAATGAATTTAAAAAAATGTAACTACTTCACTTGTATTGTAGTTGTTTTGAGAGAGAGAAAAACGCGTTGGTTTACTTTTCTAGGATATTCAAAATTTTTGATAAGAAGTTACAAATGAAATATAATGAATCCTGTTTAATACTAATCCTTTGTTGACCTGTCTTTACAGATGTCTTGTATCTGGAAATACAATTATATATACATGTGTTTTCACTGAATAGAATATTTAAAGGGATTCGCTTTAGACTGGTTTTATGTAATCGTATTAAGGAAAGTATTCATTAAACAATGTTAGAATATTTTAATGATATTTTATATGCCTTTTTTTAGCAATAAAGGGGAAAGTTCCTGACACTGAAAGCATACCTGTAGGTTTACGGAAAATGAAAGAAGCTGGATTGTATAACGTTATCTTTGAACTCGACCTTGGAGATTCTACGTACGATTTTGACAAATTCAGAACAGATGAGATGTGCGCATTACTTAAAAAATGGGTCGACTGGGTTTTTGAAAACTTGGGTAAAGAGGCAAAAGTATTCATTAGCTTCAGAGACCTCCCGGATGCTATGCCAACTGATTCCGATAGAGTTTTTGAAGTTACTGATTTCCTATGTAAATTACCATTATTTGGTCTGATGTTTGAGGAACCAAGAGGACAATCTCTCCCCGAGGAATGTGGCACCTGGGCAAAACATATAAGAAAGGTCATGGACGCCAATAATTTCAAAGGTCATCTTTTGGTTCATGTTCACGAGAAATTTGGTTACTGTGATGCTGTAGCTTTGCAGGTACGCATTTACAATATAAATAACAAATCTTTTAATTATGATTTATTGCATGTATTTATCTCTCACTATTAACTTGCTGAACATTTTTTTTTCAAACCTGATCTCGGTAATAAACTAATAAAAATACTCTTTGACCAAATTATCCTAACTGTTTTTGTATTTTCGGAATATTTGTTGGTTATTTGCTAGAACAAAGTAGGACGGGATAAGAATTTAATTGCATGGCAATATTTCGTTCAAAATACTTATAAAACACTATTAAGGTATGTATACAATATGATTTTGACATGTCTATTTTAATTTTTTAAGTTTTCACTGTTTTTGAAATTTGTAGACTTTGAAAATTTCGTATTACACAGCCTTGGAAAAGTATTTATCAATCTTAAGTAATTATATTTGTAAAACAAAATTGAGTATTTTATTCCATATTCAGGTACTAATGGATGGAGCAGATGGAATTTGGGCCAGTGTTATAAAAGAAGGCGCTGCCATGGGAAATGCGCCATCTATTGTAACAATAATTAATCTAATTCGAATGGGAAACAAAAAAGTGCTGAAAAAGTATAATTGCACGTACCTCCGAAAGGCAGCAATTAACATGACCAGAATTACCACTGGGGTTGATCCTCATATCAAACAGCCTGTATATGGAGCAAGTGCCCTCGACTTTGTTTTTGACTTGAATCCTGAAGAATTTGATTTTGCCGACTTTTTCGACGAAAAAGCTCCTATTCGAATAACCACTCTTTCGTCAGCGGAAATGGTCCAAACTAAGTTATTCAATTATTTTGGCGAGAACGAAGACTTTACTATAGAACGTGCCAACCTAATGAAGGAAGTCATGCTAAAAGATTTACGGGCGAACAGGTTTGTTTTCATTTTCTATAAGGCTACAAATGAATACAACTAGAGTATACAACAAATGTAGAACACACAACTACTTCAAAAATAAGTGCAAATGTAGTTGTAACTGAACATAAACGTTTAAACCCGCTGCAATTGTTTGCACCTCTCCTAAGTGAGGAATCTGATGTTCAGTGGTTGTCGTTTGTTGATGTGGTTCATAAGTGTTTCTCATTTCTCGTTTTTTATATAGATTAGACCGTTGGTTTTCCCGTTTGAATGGTTTTACACTAGTAACTTTTGGGGCCCTTTATAGCTTGCTGTTCGGTGTGAGCCAAGGCTCCGTGTTGAAGACCGTACTTTGACCTATAATGGTTTACTTTTATAAATTTTTACTTGGATGGAGAGTTGTCTCATTGGCACTCATAAATTATATCTTATACTACAGAAGATTTTTTTTTAATATCAGATATTCATTAAATATCTAGACAGTGGGAAATTTAGGGTCAAAATATGACTTCCCCTCAAAAAACACTGAAAACTTATCATTTCAATGTTTGTTCCGTTTTAGCAGGGACGCTATTATAAATTCACAAGAAAACTTTCTGGTCGTAACAATGAAATGAATTGAAACAAAACAAAATTTCCATATTATGTTATTATTTCCCTACTAAAATAGCAAACGATGAGTACAGCAGGCTATAGGAGCTTTGTGTAAAATTGGATTAAAACGTTGCTATGCAAATACATTCCTGGAGTACCAACTTCAATTTATTTTTCTACTGGATCTGTACCTCTCTAAAACATGCCAATTATCCGTTACATATATGTATGCAGCTAAATCAGAGAAGTTCGGATAAGAAAACCCAAAGGAATCGATTGATATTCAGCAAAGATTAACACTTGAAATTGAGTTACTAAGCAAATTAAAACGGACCTTATCCCGATGTAAACATGGCATGTGAAGAGATCGAGAAGATCGCAAATACATGTACAGAAATCGAGACGCACTTTTCTTAAAATTGTAAAAAAAAATTAGTAAAAATCTTATAACAGATAACCTACTTTGTAAAAATATTTATCTTCAATTTTGAACCTGCACAGACACAACTTTTAAATCGTTATATTCACAAAAAGACAATAATTCTTTACTGAAAGTTCACCTGACAAGAGCAGACCGGTGTACTCGAAACTTGCATTGTGAAAAATTGGATATATTTTTGGAAATTGTAACTTGTTAAGGACTATGATGAACACTCTGAAAAGTTGTGACTTGAAAGATCTTTTGATTTTGTACGTGCATGATTTTCTCCAAACTTTATCAATTTTATCAATTTATCAATTTTATCTATTAATATGCAGCAAAGATTAACATTTTTTTAATTTCAGTTTCACAAGCTAGCTTCAAACAATCATCTCGATAAACAATGAACGTAAAACATCGTGTATTTACATGTATATTTCTAATAACACAATTTTAATTGAGCAAATATTTTCTTTAAAATGTACGATTGTTGTTTAGAAATAAGAATTAATCAGTATCGTCACCGGCATTGTTTTGCTATTGATTTTTTCGATTTTCATAAGAAGAGTGACTTTTCTATAGCCTGGGGTCCTGGCTAATCTTGTCAGGATAGCCAGGCGGGTATCAATATACTGCCTGTCAATGATTGGTTAATGCTAATTTTGTCGCGCAATGCACATTGTGAAAGCTAAATATGACAACTACAAAAAGTTTTCCCTTTTCAACAGATTGTATTGTAAATATAAAATAAAGTTCTTGTCAATGAATTAAAAATCAATTAACTTTTGCACAATTAAATTTTCAGATACAAAGAGAAACAATTATACATCAAAACTTTTCAAACATATATCGCACAGCTAGATCGGGCCGGGATGCCAGGCTAGACTTTTCTATTGTTCTCATGTCATCGGTTTATCCACTAGAGTCCTTGTAAAAGCTTCGTTTTGAAAACTATAGTTGCACGTATTGGTTTAATTTTTAAATACTTGTTTCCTTGTTTTCTCTTTACAGTGCAGTTTTCTTCGATTTCAGCATAATTTTATCTAATATATACATTGTATTTAACAATTTGATCAGAGCAAATTGATCCAAGAAATATAACAACTTTAATAAATCAAAATCACACCATCAACAAATACCTTCGAAATGAAAAGTTACAAGGTGAATGAATCGCGAACGCTGGAATACTGCTTCACCACCGAAAAAGACAAAGGGTCGGGTTAGTACTGTTTTTATATTTATGTTGTTTTAATATTTTCACACCTACACGGATTATGTTTTTATTATATTTAGGAAAGAAGAGTATATGAGTAAATGTGGATTGGCTGTTTTGTACGACCGTTCTGGGGGAAAACTCACTGATGAAATAAGAGACGAAATCGCCAACGATCCAGTGCAGACACCACATGGACAAAACCTAATCAAAGAAGTCCGTGAAAGATGGGACGAATGGGATCTGAAAGATAAAGTTCAAGGTGATGACCTTTTGGATTTCGATTCCTTCTACAATGGTTTCATGGCCCCTTATTTTGCCTGTTACAGATGTAATGATACTAAAAAAGCGCTGCAGGCCCTCGATATGGATAGCGACAACTCCATTGATTGGACGGAATTCTGCATCTTTTTAAAATGGGCAATAAAGCAATATCCTAAAACAATTTTCACTGCAGATGATTTGCTCGAAGTAGCCTTCCGAAAAGGGTTAATTCCTTGCATGAGAGATGAAATGATTACCAGAAGGTGAAAACGAAACTCTATTACTTTTAATATACCAGCAACTTGTATATGAAATAATACGCTTTTTTATGTAATGTAGCAAAATACATATATATTCATAAAACGCATCTGCTTGCAACTGTTAATAATAAATAATATATTGATGTCCAAAATAAATATCACGTTTGTTATCAGAAAACTGTCTGTTATTATATAGTAAATTTAAGAAAAAAAAGTAAGATGAACATATACATAAAGTCAACTAAAAATGAAAACAACACGTTATATAAATTTCATGCATCTGAAGCGCTTTTCTGGATTTACCATCATCAAGAACGCTCAAAGCTGAATATTTGAAAGCCAAGGATGTATAAGAACCGAAATAGTTGAAGAGCTATATAACCAAAAAGGACCTTAAAAAATAGCCAAGTCCATATAAGGTCAACTTTGCCTTATTAAACATCCTGACGAGGATCACATAAAAAAAAATAATGCAACCAATTTTGATCGCCTGGAGAAATTTCTGCAATAGTGTTATTGTATCAAGTATAGGATTTGCATATTTAGTATAACTTAATTCTGAATAAAGATGTTTATAGCGTATATAATCTGTTTTCAATACCATATTGTATGGCAAAAATTGAAACCAAGTTATAATTAAACAGGCTTGAACATTTAGGGGAATCGTATTTTTAGACAAAACTATTCCTTGGTTAAAATTTTAACAGAGGTCCGAAGCTAGGTTAAATCTGAATCATTTAACCAAGGTTAAATTTAACCACAGGATGAACAACAGAAAATAACCCAGGGTTAAATTCGAACAAAGGGTTATGATATTTAACCCTTGGTTAAAATTTAACCAAGAGATGAACAACTGGGTCCTGTTTAATCAAAATGGCCGCCGTACGAGACACAAAGACGTTCACTGTAACCAAAATGGTCGCCGTACGAGACACTAAGACGTTCACTGTAACCAAAATGGCCGCCTTACGAGACACAAAGACTTTCACTGTAACCAAAATGGCCTAGTGTATTCACTGGAAAGAGGGTGTGGATGTGGGTTTACAGAATAGAGAATAATGGGCAAAAAGTATAAAGAAAAGAGAAAAATGGCCTAAAAAATTAAAGAAATTGGGGAGCTACCATTTGATTTTTATGGGGTGGGGGGGGGGGGGGGGTGAAAAATTTTGTCCTGCATTTTTTTTAGTTGTAATCTCTGTCCTGCCTTTTTATTTTGCACTCTATTCGGTCCTGCCTTTTTTTTTAAAAGTTTATCCTGACTTTTTTTACCTTAATTGTCATCCTGACTTTTTTTTTTGCAAGTGTCTCATCTTGCCTTTTTTTTTTACTCAAAACTCCTGTCCTGCCTATTTTTTTCAAATTTCATCCTAGCCATAACCCTAACCCTAATCCTAACCTAACCCTAACCCTAACCCTACTAATTTTAGAACGGTATTACACAAAATTTTAGTGAGCAGACTCGCATACACCACGTCCCACATAAAAGGAAAAGATAAACATAGTTACCTGATGGCATAGTTTGTTTTTTTACTTTAAGGTATGATTTTTTCTTTTATGATTTTTCGTCTCATTATATGTGACAAAATATCCAAGTAATTAGGTTGTAACGGCATCATCCTGATACCACTTTTCTGCACACATTTCGTTCTATGTTTAGTAACTTTCACACTGACACAGTGAACTCAAAAAAGATAGTGATCTTTTTTCCTTTAATGTGACCATATTTTCAAGTTAGCCGCCGTTACAATCGCATGAGTACTATTTGTTTAACATCCAGAAACCTGTTTCCGATACAAATTGCAATATTTTTTTAGAACCTTGACCTTGAACATAGTGACCTGAAACGCAAGTTGATAGTGGGGGTTGGTTTTAATCAGACTATTTTTAGGATGACCTTGACCTTGAACATAGTGACCTGAAAATGAGTAGGGATCGTCCTCCTTTTATGTGACAATAGATATAAGAGTAATGTTGCAATCTCTTATCGCGTTAGAATATGAATTTGTTTTAACATCCGAAAAACACTTTTCTGCTTAGTTTCTGTTATTTTACCTTACCATTTGTGGTATTGTTCTCAAAATAAAGAGATCTTCCTCTCATTATATGTGACCACATGTATATTGTTTGATTAAGCAACCGAAAACAACTTTTCTGCAAAGATTTCATTCCAATTATAGTAACTATATTGAATTGACCTATGATCTCATTTGAGATTTCCCTCTCATTATATGCAACTACATATCCAATATGAAATAAGAAAATGTGGTATGATTGCCAATAGGACAATTCAACACCAGAAATAAAAT